TTAATTTACACTTAAAATCATATTAAATTGTATGTAATTTCTTATAAATTATAACTTTTATTATTGTTACAATGTGTAGTGTTTTTATAACATCTCAACATCACCATCATCGTCCCTCCACCACCACCAACTGTCACCTCATCAACACAAGAAAGTTACATACACCGCTGCTCAAATGTGACTTAACTTTTAGTATTAACTTATTAACACATGCACCACCAACAATTACCACTTTCGATGTTATCCTCACCCGCCACCCCATCACCATCAAGAGTCACCCGTTAACAAAAGAAAATTAAAAGCATTATTGGTACAGTGTGTATAATTTTATTTTATTTTATTTATTTATTTACGTGGTAACTCATTAACCAATGAACCACGACCACCCACCATCGACTTTCGCCACAAACTGCCACAAAAACATTCACCACGTGTAACGAACCATCATAAGACCATCACCATCCATCAATTCCTTCCAAAAGCACGCACACACAAACAAAAAATAATAATAATAANTGCCTTAGACCTCAAATATCAAGGGGCTTCATTAAAAAAAGAGGTCCAAAAACTACCCCAGTTCAAAATCCCTCAAATCCCTAAAATAAATTAATGTGTGCTTTTAAGAGAGAAAAGGAAGAGATCAGGAAAATTGAAATCTATTTCTCTCATCATCTCCACCAAAAATTCTATTAATTCCAAATTTCCACACATAATTATTGCATCTTTATTCTGTTGAAGGTTTTCAAAAAACTCAAGGTAAGATTTATATTATTATTCTATTTTTGTTTTAAAAATATTTATTTATGACATGACAAGATATTTTGTCCTTGAATCTTAGATATATGAGTACTTTTAAAAAAAAGGTTGAACCCCAACCTTGAGGGCCCCCACCGACCCTGCCCTGGACCATTGTGGAGGAGGTAAATCGCGGGATGTGCCTCCCAAGAGCCAGGGTGGAGAGCTTATGGATAGGCCTGGGTTATTAACCCTATGGTAACTCCCGCTTGCAATAAAGTCAATTCCACCTTGCGGGGAATCGAACTCTGCACACTACCGCGCTGAGCCCTAACCGCCCTCCCCTTTGCCACTGGGAGATATGCCCTGGGGGCGATATGAGTACTTTTACTTTTGGGTTGAAAGAGTTTATGTGAAAAAAGTAGAAAATGTTATAATTGTGATTTTTAAGTGTTGAAATATTTGTGATTTTTGCTTCTTTAATGTGGGTGAAGCTGTGAGTGTGCTACGATGAAACATAATTTTAATATTCATGTGAACTACATGGAGCAGAAATTTGCATATATTCAGTTGTCCTCTTAGGTGATGATTGCCTTTGCTTTGGCCTCCTTTTCTTTGTATTTAGAGAATGTCCATCAAATTGCTTGGTGTTATCCTTGATTTTATTTCTATTATTCAGTCTTTATCAAAACGGCATTATATTATCGTGAAGCTGCCAAAACCTATTAAAACAATAGAAAATACATAATTCTTCCAACTTTGGATTGGCTAGTCTTTGGAGCTAAAGACATACCTTAAATATAGTTGTAAAAGAAGATTATGGGTGTTTCTATTTGGAAGTCGTGCTTCATTCTGAGAATTTTGATTTGTTTTAAGAGAAAACGTGCATTTCTCAAAATGAACCAAAAGTGTCATTTACCTTGTTGCATTTTTGGCCCATGTCTTTTCAATTAATGATGTCAGTGTATCAAGCAGATTTTCATCTGGCCAGTGATTGATGAATAAACAAGTGAATAGATTAGTGAGGAACGAATAACTTTTTTTCCCATTGGGTGAGCAATTGGTAATTTAAAATAACGTTTATTGAGCACTCATTCAATTATCTGTACGACTTATTCAGCGAACTTTAAAATTTCTCAATGCTCACCCATTTATCTACATATTTTCATCCTACTCATTAATAATCCGATTATAACTTAGCGAGCATTCAGAGCTTTTCTCATGGCTTGAGAAGAGGAACAGAATAACAACATCCAGTGGCGAATCTAGGACGAACAGCCCGTGCCAGCCTTTGCCCAGAACGACTGCCAGTCTGCCAGCCCTCTTTATACATTAGCCCATGTCCAAATTAATTACAGCCCGTATACTTATAGTTCAAGCCCAAAATGAAAAATTGAAACAAAAGAAAAAATTATAATTCCCAAAACTAGACATTTAATCCCTCCCTCTCGCAGTCTCTACAGTCTCTGCTCGCCTTCAATCGGTCAATTGTGTGTAAGATATGCTCAATTTCTAGGAATCCGCTGGCCAGTAAGCTTTGTCTGTCCGATTTCCAAAATATATGTAAATTTAATCTTTACATCGTTTCGATTTGGTTTTAATCATTTAAGTTAATATGTGTATATATATTTTTTTAATAAATCGACTGAAAAGCTGTTTGTATGTTAGGTGAGGATTTCCTTGAATAATATGTATTGATCAATGAACATATTAATTAAGTTATACGGTAGGCTGTAGCTATTTTCTTGTAAATTTTCAGCAGAACTTTTGCCTCTAAAATGTGTTAAATGAAAAAGGAGTGAAAATGTGTAATAGATTCGGTTTGGAGTGCGGATTTGGATCTAATGGTAAAATGATATCAAAAAATCAATGGTTGAGGAAGCTTGTTGCACACCGGATCTCATCCTTCATGAATGGTTGCAGAAAATATAGATGAAAATTATGTCTAGAATTCCCTCCTGGGCCATGTTTTTCCTAAACATTACTGCCTGAGTTTCCAAGGAAAGATGCAATATCTGCTACTAATGAGATTGAAAAGTTGGATCACAAGCATTTGCCTTAGTTGCAGCAGCAATTTTTTCTATCGCACGCAAATTCTGAACTTCTGGATAGGTTTGGACATTACTATGGATATGAGGTTGAGAATTATAAGATGCTCCTATATTGTATCTTCTGTTGGACAATTCCCCTGATGGGGTATGGAATTCGTTATTCCTGGCTGTTTAGGGTGTTGGAGTCGAAGGACGAAGATGATGGCGTAGATGAAAAGTTGAGACGTGGACGTAAAGGGCATATGTGGTAAGGTCAAGAACAACGGTAGGGTGTGATTGGGAAGTCCTTACGGAAGCTCATGGAAAATAGAAAGGTGGAAAGGCTGGGATGTGGTTAATTTATTCGTGGAATTGAAGTTGAATCCATGGAGATTAGTACTAGTGGAGGAGATTTGTACTAGAAACTGCTAACATTAGGTTTATTGACTTTCTTAAATTTCAGCCTCTGCATCCTAAATTCCTGGATCCATCCCTAACTACATCCGATGCCGATATTAAAGATTTGAAGAGAATTTTCAATTTCTTATGCGTGGTAATCATCTCTTAAACCTAAAATTTTAGAATTTCACAAATTCAGGTTTCTAATCAATTTTGTAAAAAAATTGATAATTATGTTCATGTAAAGCAGATTTGTAATCAGTTTTACCCTGGAAAATTTGTTCAAAATGCAGGAGATTATTCTTTTGGGATTTCCTAGTCACTGTTGTAAACTTCATGTTGTGTAAAAAATAGAAACCTTGTTGAATTTTGTATATTTTAAAATAGCTAAACATTTTCCCCAGCTTGATGAAATCTTGTAGCAAAAATCTGAAGTAAAAATCGATTGAGGAAGCATCTAATTGAATAAACTTGTTTTGGACAGTTGGAATATAAAGAAAGTGCATCCTTTGAGGTGAGTTGTGATGGAAATAGTTGTGAAACTATAATCACAGGAATTCAAGTTGTTTTACCGATCTGATCGTTCCCAATTTCCTCTTTCCGTTGTTTTTTTTCCCTTTATTAATCAATATTGTGCAGTTTTTTTTTTTTTAAGATTCTGGGAAATCCAGATGTGGCCTGATTGATCAAAAAGATTGTCATTATATCTACTGCCTATCTGGATTTTTTTCTTCAAATTTTAAAATTGAGGTTCCTGAATTTATTATTACTTTTCGGAATGTTGAAATTTCTTTGTCGAATTGATTGCTTTAGTATATTGTGTTGTTATTTTTTTACTAGGTGATTAACTAATTATGATGATAAATTTGCGTTTTTTTTTTTAATTTTTATCTTTGTGTTTTAGTGTTGAAATGGGAAGGGGGCAACTATGTAATCACTATTTTTCCTACATTATATATGCCTAATACTTCATGTCAGACAAGAGTCAAGGTCGACAGAGCCTAGATTTCAATGGCTTAATTTTCAAGTACCACTGTGGAGAAAGCTTTTCTTTTAGTGAATCACATATGAACCACCGGATGATGCTACTATATAGACTTTTACTTGAATTTCCATCTTTTAGTGTATTGCTGTCCAGCTCTTTGATCAGAGTGGTGCATATATTGTTTTCTAATATTCGTAATTGGATTTCGACGTGTTATTCATTTTTAGCTGAATAATTTGAATGAAAACTAGCTTCTGCTATTTTTTAGTGTGCTTATTGGTCATTTGAAGCAAACGGTGCTTGTGATAATTCTTTTCAAACCTTACATTGCAAAAGCTTATTCTTTAGAATCGACAGTTTTAACCATAAAAGTAATTGCTACTTGTAAAATAAGCACCAGAAGCTTATAGACTTTTTCAGACTTGGTGAAAGTCGCTCTCAGCAACTTAAGAAAGTTGCCATAGTTTTCTACTACGTTTGACTTTTGAGCTTAACAAGGTTCTGATATTAAATTTCAGTTCTTGTAATAACCCATAATACTATTAATTTTCAACGGGGTGGTCATTTTAATTCCTAAGTTTGGGGAAAAATCTATTTCCACTGTTATTTTTATTGTTACGGGCCTTGATATTTGTATTGTTAATCAATGATATGATAATATGATATCATCTATTTAAACGAACTTGTGAATTTTGTACCTGTGTCTATTCTTTTGGTGATCTTTGTAGGGTGTAATAGTCAAGGAGAAATGATTTTCTCTTAGTTCAAACATGGATGTTCACCTTCATTTATTTGCTTATTTTCTTTTAGCTCATAAACTTAAATTTGTTATTGCAGATTAGTTTTATAAAATGATGGAAGGCACCCGTTTTAGGCTCAAAGGGTGGCAGCAGGCTGCCGTTGCACTTGGATCTGCTGTTGGGGCTTTATTAGATCCAAGAAGAGCAGATTTGATAGCTGCATTGGGAGAGACAACTGGAAAGCCTGCATTCGAGAGGGTTCTCGAGAGGATGAAGAGAAGTCCAGAAGGCAGGGTAAAGCTATCGATACTCTATAATGACATTTTGCAGTTTAATTTATATAATTAGTTATGCAATTCTTTTGTTTTTTAATAGTTTTTATGAGCATATTACTTGGTGTGGTACTGTTATTCTTGGTGTCTTTGATGAGTAGGGATTCATCTTTGTGTCCTCTATGCTAGTGAAGTTGTATTTCTGGCCTGGCTGTTATGAACTGTATGTATTTAACCAAAGTTAATTACTAAAATACTGATGTTCATGGTTCAGTGAGAATTAAATATGTTGTAATATTTTTTGAAATACATCAGAAAGCTAGATATTGAACGGATGAAGTAGGACTCTACTCCCACACTCGGGAGAAATCTATTCATAAATACCACCTTATTGCTTACTGAAATAAGGTTCCATCTTTAATTCCTTGAACGCAAATTATTGATTTCAATTATCAAGGCTTTTAGAATTTATGAATCTGGTTTCCTACCTATCTCTGATCAGGCTATAGACCTCCTTAAATGAGAGTTGTTTTCCTTATATGGAGTTTCAGTTATGTGTTCGAAATATTTACCCCATTGTTTTGGGATTATTAGTTTGAAGTGTACCAGACTTGTCTTATGGGAATTTGTAAAACTTGCTAATTATGTGTTCAAACTATTTATTCCATTGTTTTTGGGATTATTAGTTTGAAGTGTACCAGACTTGTCTTCTGGGAATTTAGTAAAACCTGCTAATGGCATAATATGTTATGGGATTTAAATTGTTCTTCCTTTTATAGACCTGATTTTGTCCTCCGGATACCATCTCTTCTATAGGGAAGTTCTCTATTCTGCATGTGAAATTTGCCCTTTTGGTGGAAATGATGAATATATTATTAAAATAGCAAAAAATGAAGTAGACCAATTAAGATTTTAAAATAAACAATGAGAAATTACAGATAATTAAATTGCTAGCCATTTCTATATTAAGTCTACTATGAAAATAGTATATATATTTTTTCTTTTCTTTTCTTGTCAATCTGTAACATCAAATGTGCCATGCTGGCAACTTATCGATCCTAGGAGCATCAGCTGGCTTTGAACAATATAGCTTGCATTATTATTGGACATGCAATGGCTGTTATTTTCTCTTTACAGTTTCTGAATTTTTGTGGTTGAACAACTGTCACTATAGAACTTAATTTGTCACTATAGAATTTAATTTGCCTGTCATCAGACACTTAGCTAGCTCTCTGATGTGTAATCTTTTACAGGGCAAAATAGCTCCTTAGAAAGTCAACTACTATTATTTTGTATCTTGAATTTCTGTTCAAATTTTTATTTGAAATCATTTAATTCCAATGAAGTTGGTGCTGTACGATTTAGGGTGCAAGGTGTTACTAGTCAAGATCATTGTCAAATTTACATAATTATTCCATTAGAAGTAGTGATCCTTGAGCTATTGACCTCTTCGTAAAATTCATGTATTTCGATTCCACATGCACTGACTTGTTTCCATTCCTTGTATAGCTTCAGTTGTGAAAATTGTTTTATTTTGTATTAATATGCGCTGTGACTTACTGAAAATTGAAAGATATATGCTAACAAATAACATATGGTTTCATTCTATGAGATATACTATTGTATTGTCTATTGCAGGCAATACTTTTGGAGCGCCCTCGTGTCATCTCTACTAATGTGGGACATGCATGGGACCTACCACCTAATACTTTTGGTGCTGCTTATGCAAAATTTATGGGATCGAGGAATTTCTCCCCCGATGATCGACCACCAGTCCGATTCATGGAGACAGAAGAGGAAGCATACGTTGCTATGCGTGCGCGTCAAGTGCATGACTTCTGGCACACCCTGTTTGGACTTCCTACCAATTTGATAGGTGAATCTGCACTTAAGGTTATAGAATTTGAACAAATGCTACTTCCGATGTGTGCCTTATCTGTCATAGGGGGAACTGCAAGGTTCACCGAGAAGCAAAGGAGATTGTTCTACAAGCATTACTTCCCATGGGCCCTTCAGGCAGGTATACGATGCTCCGACTTAATGTGTATTTATTACGAACGTCACTTTGATGAAGACTTGGAAGATGTTCGGCGAAAATGGGGAATCATTCCCGCTCCTCCTCCTACACTGAATGCAGCCTGAATCAGATGATTGCAGTTGAAAAGAGGAATTCAGTCGCGTGTCCTGTATGCTAACAGGTTGTTAAGTAGGATGGGCTGGGGCTGTGAAGAAGTAATTGTCCATTGTAATGTCGAGTCTTGTCCAATACTAGAAGAAAATCCTTTCCTTTTGTTGGTTATGTGCGTTAAACAATTTTGGATAATAACCGAGCGTAGTTGGAAGATTGCAATCATGTCAACTTCCACGAGTTATGCTGGTAATTGTATTATTTGTATATGAACAATTATTAATGCATGGAAGTATAACAAGAAATCATTTAATGTAACTATTGAATGAATGCATGTACCATTGCCTATTGCCAAGTCCTAACACGACACTCGAGGGTCGAGACAATTGTTCCTTTTGCAAGGAATTGTTTTAGATCGTATTAGACAATGCAATATACAAAATTTTAACTTCTTATCAACCTTACCAAACATGAATGTAAATAGCATGCATCCCATATGTTTCTTATTTTCATGGACTCTTGTATTTACATCATGTGATTTTCGATACTTGTATTAAGAGTTTGTGGAGTGCTTCAGGCTTCGAGAAAAAAGGTGAATGGTCTGAGCCCTTCAACTGGAAAACTTGCTTTGGCTGATTTGATTTGATCATGGCCTCTTGAAGGGGGAGAGGAATGGCAAAATCTTCTTCTGTTTTTATATAAAATCTTGGATGGAACCATGATTTGCAGTCGAAAGAGAAAGTTTCTCTGTCAATGGTGCAAAAGGAACTTGCCTCAATGATGCTGATGCTAATGCAATGTCCTGGATCAAGAAAAGTTGCAAAAAAACTTGAATAAGACATAAATCTCGAGTAGAGAAAAGTGAAAGAGAAAAAAACCACAATTCATCAAGTATGATAAATACCTTTGAAGACGTTCTGTTAAATAGGAAGTCTTCCAGCAATGATTTGTCTAAATCAATAGCAGTTGGTGGGGTTGGGCATGAGTTGTGTTGGATTGGTTTTGAGTACAACCCAAACACAACCCATCGTGTTCGGTTTGACAATAATTCAAACCAAAACTAACTCATTCATGGTTTAAACCCAACCCAATCCAAACCGACCAAACAAGGGTTGGTTTGGGTTGATTTAGTTGGTACATTTTCATTGAATTTGAACAATTTTTTAAAGTGGTAATTACATGAAACCATACTTTAAGTTTTTAAACTTCTAAAATCAGATTTAAAGTTTAATATTTCTAAAATCAGATTTTTTTAATTATTATAAATTAATATTTTAATAATAATAATATAAATTAATTTATATACACACATCTACCACCATCCAAATTCCAAACCCTAATCACTCATCTTCTCTCCATCTCCCTCTCTCTCCTCGATCTCACCGGCGACCGGCCCTCTCTTCATTGCCTAACTCCGAAGACAACGTTTCATCGTCTCTCTCTTCGAACTCCCGTCGCGAACTCTTTCCCTCTTCTTTCTCTTCCCAGCTTTCTTTCGTTTCTCTCCCCTCTCCCTCACATAGCCGCCGCCGTCGAAGACAGCAAAAGCCGTGGGGCAAATGGGCGGCGGAGATTCGAAACCCTTCCCATCCTCTCTCTTCCTCGCTGTGCACATCATCAACAAAGTCGCTCGACCCAGTGACATCGTCGTGTGCAGTGGACTGTATCTCTTCCACTGCGTATGTGGTGGTGGTTATGTTGTGTGAGGTGATTGTGGTTGAGGATGTGTCGACGACACTTGGTGTGGGTTGATGTGGCCGGAGGTGGCAAATCGCAGTGAGAGGTGAGAGATCGAAAAAATGGCAGTGAAGGAGACGATGGGTTGTGGCTATTAGTAGTTTGTTTGTTGATTTGGAGAGGTGATGGTGAAATTATGGTGGCCGACGATGTTGTAATAAGTCGATTGAAGGAAGATATGGGAATAGACGGTGGTTATGGGGTGGTTTTTTTGGTGGTTTGAAAATGGTGGCGGCAAAAGATAGGACAACAGACGACTGCTGCGCTATCTGGGGGAAAATCGTCGGAGCTTTTGGGGTAGTTGGCGGGTGGTTTGAAATGGTGGCAATGTTTGTAGTTGGTGGTGGTACTGGCCGTCGAGGTGGTGGTGGTGGTGGTGGTCCACTCTTCTCTCTCTTCTGTACTGTCTTTTCTCTTCTCACTCTCTTCTCTCTAGCAATGGACGGTGGCGGAGGGTTTGGTGTTTGTGTTGGACTATCTATGACTAAGAATTAATCCGTGACCTTAAAATTCGACAATTTGTCACTAAAAATTAATCCTGACCTGTAATTTTTTAATCCGTGACCAATAAAATAATCTGTGACTTTTAAAATTATTGATTTGTGACCATGAAATAATCCGTGACCTCCAAAAATTTTGATCTGTGACCGATATACAAATTGTGATCTATAAAAGTTTTGGACTGTGACCTGAGTTGTGACATGGGCTGTGACTTGTGAATTGGACTGTGACCTGGGCTGTGACTCGTGACCCGATTAGTCGGAATCGGAGTAGTTGTCGGAACGGTCATCGAAAGTTCGACGGAGTGGGCGGTGATCGGAACGGTCGCCGGAGCGGTAGGGTGGTGAAAGTGGGATTGGTTAATTATATTATATTAGAATTAAATATTTAACAATAAATTAATTTATTTCATAAATAAAAATTTTAAAAATTTTAATAAAAATCTGATTTTGGTAATTTCAAACTTGTTTTCTTATTTTTGAAATAGGCTAAACTTATTCTCTTAAATATGTAATCTTCCATTTTTTAAAAGTTTGATACCATTTCAATTTGGATCAATTTCAATTACATTAAAAATGGTGATTTGAAAGGCCTTAAATCGATTGAAGTTGGATCAATGGTCCATGAGGTTAGGTTCCATTCCAATAGAACAATATAAATTAAAAATATTGTAAACATGTTAAATAGATTATATCATGATTAAATTAAATACATATTAAATCAATCTAAATACATGTTGAATACCTGCATATTCTACCTATTGAATAAAATGAATTCAATCTAAATACTAAAAATGTTCAATTATCCAAACTCAATACAAAATCTTATTCTTTAATCTAAGTGTTTAGTCAAAAATCACGTCAAAATATCGAGTCGAGAAGCCGATACACGAGCAGCAATGAGAAGCAAAGGTAAAATAGACGTGAGGTAGAGGAGAATTTGATCATTATGTTTTAGGTTTTTTATTTTAATTACTAATTTTCTTTTTAATATTTTCTACTTTATTGGGTTGTGTTGGGTTTTAATAGATAACTCGGAACCCACCCAACCCGACCTAAAATTTGATTTCCTAACTTGAACCCAACCCAATTGAACTAAAAAAAGCAATCCAGACCGGTTGATTTGGGTTGGGTTGATCGATTTGACTGATTTGAATTGATTTTTGTTCAGTTGGCTCTTCCCATTTGCATATGAAAACTTCATGCGTGCAAGTTCAGATCATTTAAGCACGATTGCAATGACATAAACAATTAGTTGAGTACTCTAAAGATAAAAGAAAAATTTTTAAGCACCGCACATTCAAATGTGAAATAAATGTAACCAAAAATTGCTGCTGCAACAAAAATTGCTTTAGAAACTTTTGTTGAATACAACTCCATTGCATATGAAACACAAGCTCCACCAAAATCATGTCCAACCAAAATCACCTGAAACACAAATTTTTAGCATAATATTTGAAATTGCTGCAAGTGCAAAGTTGAATAAATCAAAGAGACAAATACTATAGGTTCCATTTTGAACTGTTTTAGGTTGAGTTATAGGAAAATGAAGTATAGGAAGAGGGAATATACCCTCTTGTCATCTCCAAGCTTTGCTAGAAAATCGGTAAGAGGTTTGGCATATTCTGCTAGAGTTGTGATGCTATTCATGTCACATGAATTGAGTCCAGAACCAGTGAGGTCTATGGCTTCAACTTCACATTTGCTTTCTTTCAAGAGGGCTATGATTTTATACCAACACCATGCACCAAAACCACCCCCATGAACTAGGACAAAATGCTTCTTTTCAGACTCCTCAGTTCCTACATCCTAGAAACGGAAAACATGACAAATCAGTACTAAAATTTAAATGCTTTGATATAAATTTCAATGAGCTATAGATATAAAACTAGTTTAACTTTGAGAGAAATAAAACTTTGTACACATCAGTAGGCATGTTTGGCCCTGTTTAAAGAAAATGCTTTTCCCAGCTTATTTGTGCAGTATGCAGCAGCAAAAATTGTGTTTTTAAGCATGACCAAACATGCTCGTATCATTTGCTGATGGAATACCTAGCACATTTCTCTGATCAATTTTTTTTATTAATTAATGGGATTTCTTTATAGAGGTGTTTGCCTAAGTGAGCATCAAATACAAGTAAAATATCAAAATAATTATAGCGAAGTAGCCTACAATTTTCCTACAGGATACGCCATTGAATTATTGATGTTCCACATATAAACTTCTTACCTTTCAAAAGTCAACAGACTATCTAAAACCTATCTTTTGCTTTGTCATGGTAAAAAAAATTCCAGTCTAAATCGATTCCATTTCATAGAAACAATATAATCGATGATACCCTTAAAGGATGATCATGATAAAATTCAAGGGTTCCTCTGCAAGGTTCGTCGCAGAAAGTCAATTGACAATAGCTGAATATTTATGTAATATTTATTCAAGGATGAAATGAAAAGAAACCTTGATAAAAAAAATAAATCTTCTTGAGGGAAAAACATACATAATCAGCACACAAGTGAAGGAATGTATTAGAAATCAGATAGAAAAAACACTAATATCCTAAATCTTTATCATTTTTTGTTAGAATGAAATTGAAAAATACTTCAGAAAAAGTTATAAAATAGTAAGATAAAAAAAAACTCAGAAAAGGTTTCATAAGGTTCATATTCAAATAATCAAAATCATTTGAAAATCAGAACCTGATGAATGAGCTGCAAGGCCTTAGAACCAGAATCCGAAACTGAATAAGATCTCTTCTGCAACTTCTTTAGCTTGTTCAATGATGGTGGAGGATACTTAACTGAGATTGAACGGTCCAGATTAAGAAGATCACCATTTTGCATGTGATGTTGATACAACATAGATGCAACTAAAGCTTGTTGTTTGATGTAAGAATCATCAATAATTTCTCCTTTTCTTGAAGAAGATGCTGATTTTCTTGATTTTCGATTATCAGAGTTGGATATCCTTGGAGGAAGTTGATCTGAATTTGATGATTCTTTGGATATTTTTCGAACTGTGGGAGAGAAACATGCAAATGAATTTCCCATTCTTGTTTGATGAGAGTCAAATAAACTATGATGTGTGTAATATATTTATAATATGTGTGTGTGTGGGTGGGTGGGAGGGGGGGGGGGGAGAGAGAGAGAGAGAGAGTTTTATATAAATTTTCAAGCCATCACAAGTTGAACATNGGGGAGAGAGAGAGAGAGAGAGTTTTATATAAATTTTCAAGCCATCACAAGTTGAACATTGGACCTTTTAGATGATTGTGCGGGAATATAAGATTTGAAGGATAAATGACTGCTCCCCATGTACTGGAGGGTGGTCGTGGGTGGCATGGGGTAGGGTGGGGTGGAGGTTTAATACTTTAAATTACCATCAAAGTGTTTCATTTGCACCACTATGTTTATCAATCGCTTGATTTTTTTAACAGATTTGCCTGCATATAACCGTTAGACATGGGATGGATGATTATTGTAATGGCCTAATTAGAAAGATAACGAAACAATTGGATAAATACATTGTCATGTCGTCCATTTTGTCGTTGTATTTAGGTAAGTGTGGTTCATTGGTTGGTTAGGTATATCCAAAATAACATTACGGAACTAAAAATTTGCACTGCTTTTATTTTTATTTTTTCTAATTTTCTCCTAGATGGCTGTTAGGCCATGCCATTATTATGCTTTTTATTTTTTTATATTTTGGGACATGGGATTGGGTGGCAGTCTTAGTTGTGGCTTGAAAAGTCATCATTGAAAATTATTGTATTTTCTTGAGATTTTCCGTGAATAAAAATATTGGTTTGGCCAGTTGGTGACAAAGTGAAGGAGACAAAATTGAAATCTGGCCAAGATAGGGACATATGAAACTTCCAAATCTTGACATCAACTATATATTAAACAGAATAATACCATATTTCAACATATTGGTAGACCCAAGGAATATGTATGCCAAATTTGAATACCTTCCAAGGTTTGATTTGTTCAAACAGAATCATATGCAACGATGATACTGTTTAAACAAAAGCTTTCATAGTGCATTTAAGAGGCACACTATAACATATTTCATAGGAAAAATTCATCAAGCTCTGCTTTATGATTGTCAAACTCCAATGTGTATTAAATACTGACTTTCGAACATGTATTCAACACAGTACATAGTGCAACTTACGTCTTGTCTATTATTTTAAATTTTCTAACAAGCGACGTGATATGTTTAGGGGTGACAAATGGATCGAGTCATTCATAGATTTGGCGCATCCCAAATCAATCCGAGTCGTTCAAACTCGTATTGAGAAGAGTCATGGATTGAACTAAGCTCAATTTTTCTTTAGGAGCTGACATGTCTTGACTTGAGCTCATAAGTTGGATCGTTTGATTTATTTTATTAATTTCTTAAAAAGGAGCCAACTCGAGCTTTGCTCATGGCCACACTAGCTAAAGGGCCGAGCTGAGTCTTATTTATGGACACAAGCCGAGCTCGAGCGTCTAAAGACCAAGCTAGCTCGACTTGGTCCGTTGTCCACCTTAGATATGTCTATTACTTTTATTATTGTTTTTTGCTAATTTTGCCATGTTAAAGGCATTGACTCAACACATTGCATGCCCCATCTTATAAATTTTGAAAAATTAAGAAAATTTTAATCACTAAAATATTTGTGTGAGATTTTAAAGTATTTCCCCCCTAGATTAACTCTAAGAAAATTAGAACTAAAACAGTTAAAAAAAAAATTCTGTTTTTTATAAAGAACCTTGGACTCATTTGGTTGAAAAATGATTTTCAATGCGTATTCAAATACGGCTTAAAATGAGCAAAGGCCAAAAAGTTGGTTTTTGTTCTCATTTTATTAAAACCGATTATAAATATATGACGTAACTTTAAATATTCTGTAGGGATGTATAAACCTCTCTCTTTTCAACACACAAAGTTAATAAAATACAGATTACTTCAATTTATAAAGACGACAAGTTTCAACTCTTTTCTTATTTCCATTTTGAAGGTATAGTCAGTGTACAGTTTAAGGTTATTCGAACACGAATAGCATGTTTGGTAACGTAAACTATAATGAATCTTAAATAAAATACCAAACATGCTCCAAGGTTTCCTAAATTTAACTCGTACCCTCAAATATTAACTAAGAATCCTCAAAAATTCTTGTACCATGTTGCAATGAAACAGAGCAACAAAGAACGAAATTATAAATGAGAAATCACTAAAACATGCTAGAGAACAAGAAGAATGGGGCTCTAAAGTGCAAACAATTTATATTGAGCCAATACTCAAGTTCTTGCTAATTCTAGTGTACTACCCACATGTGTAGAAATGTATTTTATACCAGCATATATGATTAAAGCGATTGCAGGAATTGCCGGGAACAACAATTTCTTGGTCCCCTTGCTCGCCTGTTTCGTACGTGCAGCCTTGACTGACCTTATAATAATGGTAGGTGGTTCCTTTACCGACCTTATAACAGTCTCGAAATGCCTGTTATATACAGCGGTGGCGGACATGTCTTCGCTCAGAGCAATCATTCCCACTCTTTTGCACAGGTTAGCCAGATCTGCCCCTGAGAATCCCTTGGTGCCTTCAGCTATTGAACGGAGATCAACTTCATCATCGAGTTTCGTGTTTAGTTTCCGTATATGGATTTGAAGGATTTCATGTCTACCTTCTGAATCTGGCAGTGGGACATGAAGCACCTACAATATTATCATATCAGACCGAGTTAACACATCTATTGCGTGATCAGTATACAGCATTGCGCATGTCTAGACAGTACTTGATAACACAATGAACAAGATTTTATCTCTTTTTTCTAAGTATAGTCGTGTACAATCCAATCCTTCTTGCCAGACGTGCTACTAGTGATCAGAGTCTACTTGAATTTTATAATCAACAGCCACGGAAAAAGAAAGAAACAGTGAATCTTGCATCATATGTAGTTAGCAGCAACAAGGAAGCTCATATATCACAAGCAGTGCTAAAACTAAAACTAATGCACGGTAAAAAAAGTTAAAAAGCTTTTTCACGGTTCAATAGCTTCTTCTTAGAAAATTTACGAGTGGGGGATGCACTAAGTGCTTACCTCATCAAAGCGTCCAGGACGCCTAAGAGCAGGGTCGATTGCATCCACAAGATTGGTAGCAGCCAAAACAAGTACACCCTAAAAATAGCAAGCGGAAATCAGAGGAAGATATTGTTAACTCATCTCCAATTGTTGTTTTCATTGTTTGTGGATAGTGTAATAACTTACTTTAGACTCCTCTAAGCCATCCATTTCAGTTAGCAATGTGGATAATATTTTGTCCCCAACTCTTGAGTTGCCACTTGAACTTCCTCCTCTGGCATTGAAACAAAATTTGCAATAGAATTCAGGAAGCAGTTATGCAAAGACCTCAATGGCAAGATCAATATAATTGAATTTGTACTTGAGATAGTTCCAAGCAAACAAACTGAAAGAAGCAAGCTTTCTTTAACCATCAAAACAGTGACAATTCTTAAACTATAAATAGAACTACAGAAAATGTGTGGTAAGAGGGGTGAGGTAGGATTCCCTCCCAAGTCCAATCCAAAACAAGGTAAGTAACTCTTAACACTAGCATTGAAAATAATGAAGCATCAGATTGTCCAAGCGAACAAGCCCAAACAATTCAAGAGACAGATAAGACGGCAGGATCATTCAGTGCTAAAGCACTCTCCTCATGAGACTTGCCGAAAACATGGTAATACAGAGTAAAATTTTGTATGAACCTTCAAAACCAACCAAGTTTTTATGTGTGCATGTGTGAAAAATTGATCAAAGAACACAAGCCTGGCAACTACCACAGCTAGGAGTGTCCAAAAGTCTCGAACCGAACCGAACCCGAACCGTTCTTCATAAATTAAATACCCGAACAAGTACTCGAATCGAGAACCGAAGGGTTTTGGTCGAATCTCGGGTCTAGACCAAGAACCGAAGAACCAAATAAAAACCGAAACTAAATAATTTTTTTATTTTTTATATTGAATTAATTAAATTATTTTATTTTTTTCTATACAAATTAGCAAATTAATTAAATAAATTAGATTATTTCATAATTTTAATTTTTAAGCCCAAATCATTTTAAAATCCATTAGCCCATTTTAATTTGAAGCAAATGAATATACTTTATGTAGTTTTACTGTAATATTAATATCTATTTTTTGGTATTTGTATGCATTGAATTAATCTTATTGGACGGCTAGTTTTGTATATTTTTTTGAATTGGGCTACGTTAATTTGTAAAAGTTACGAATGAAATGTTATTAATTGTATTTATGTAGTGTTGCTGAAAATATTAAAAAATTTAATTATGGTACGGAACGGAACCGACCCGAACCGAACAGAACCGAACTCGAACGGTTCCATTATTATATTTGGACCCGAGGGTTCCATTTATTAAATATCCGAAAATTTTGGGCAGAGACCCGAACCGACTCACGGACAGCCCTAATCACAGCATTACCAATCAACATTTCAACTAAATAAATTCAAATTTATAGCAGGATGACAGAAATTTTGAAATAATTCACCTGGACAATTCACAATGATTGTACAAATCAACACGTGGATATTAAAGATTGATCAAGGACATAGCCTGGAACTACGCAGCATTATTAATCAACATTTCAACTAAATAAATTCAAATTTAGAGCGGGATGATAGAAATTCAGAGATAATTCACCTGGACAATTCACGACGATTGTACGAACTAACATATGTAAGTATGTACGCATTGTATGTATGAGAATTGATCAAGAACATAGGCCTGGCAACTATGCAGCTTTACCAATCAACATTTCAACTAAATAAATTCAAATTTAAAGAAGGGTCACAGAAACTCTGACATAATTCATCTGGACAATTCACGGCGATTGTACAAATTAACAAAGTGGAATTTTCACATGTTTTCAAAAATAAAACAATTATATTATTCGTACAGTATAGCAGATGCTCTTGAATTTCACAGCAAGCAGAAACATAATGTATAAAAAGGTGTACATTTGAAATTCCATGAGTTTCCAACTTGTACTTGTTATTGAGAGAATTAAAACTATCCAAATCAGTAATATCAATCACCAAACTATAATCAGACTGAGAATGCTTGTTAGGAAGTATGCAGTTGATACTGAATGGAATATGACTAGTACACAGCCTAATTGTAAGGTTCCACCAGAAAAAAAAATGAAACAATTACCGTTTGGCACCAATTGAATCAGCATCATCAAAGAATATTATGCTTGGGGCGGCAAGACGGGCTCTACGAAACGTATCACGCAGCAGAGCTTCACCCTCACCAACATACTTGTTATATAACTCTGCAGGACTGGTGCAGGATATAATCTCAGAAAAATGCAATTATTATAAACTACAATTCAAGCTTCATATGCACAAGAATGAATACAGCAGTGTATCAAGCTTAGTAAGGCTGGTTACTTCAATGTTTAAGAAAATCTAAAGGAATTTATTAATTTCCAAATGATTCAACCAATTATACTGTGCATAAATAGATGAAAATCAAGTAATATATAGAACTACTTTTTGCTACTTTCAAGATTAAAAAGTTTACACAATTTAATCTAAGAAAAGCACCCCCAGTAACCTTACCACAAAAGTGGCAAATGTTAGCCTTCAGGACATGTTTGGGCAACTTTATTTATGAGAATTTCGAAGCAGGCATATACAATTTAAAATGAAAGAATATCTTGGGCAATTTTATTTATGAGAATTTTGAAGCAGGCATAAACAATTTAAAATGAAAGAATATCTACATGTACTTAATAATGTTCTTGGTAACAAATTTATCATCTCTTCCAAGAGAAGGGAACCTGGGACTGGACATAGATCTTAATAGCATTCGCAAATGATAACCATGTCAACCAATGCATCTCCACTTTTGAAACCCATATTGTTAAGTTATCTAGCAAAATGAAAAATTGTAAATATTACAATAATGATACGACGACTATGAACCTTATGTCAAAAACCCAGTCCATGTGATTATGCTAGTAAACCAATTAACATTTGATAGTACCTTAAAGAAAAGAAAGAAGCTTGTGTAACATGCGCAATAGCTTTAGCAAGGGTTGTCTTTGAGCACCCTGGAGGCCCGTGAAGGAGGATTCCACGAGTTGGTGATATACCCAACCTTGAAAATGATGAAGAATATTTTATAGGCCACTCAATAGCTTGCCGGAGCTTTTTCTGTTTCATGTGTTGAAAGTAAAGTGAAATTTTAGTTATTGCTCTGATGTAAATCAGTAAAATGATGGTGATTATGTTTCAAACCTTCAAGTCTTTCAATCCTCCAATGTCATCCCAAGTAACCTCGGGAATTTTCTCCGTAATCCCTCTTGTGATGCTGGGCTTAACCACAGACATAGCATGCTTCCAGTCATCCATTGCTATGGTACAAAGACCATCAAATTGATTTACGTCGGATGATCTATTTTCTGCTGAATACGTAGCCATACGACATAAACCTAACAAATCTGCACCAACATAACCATTGCAAGATACAGCTACAGTTTGTAGGTCAACTTCAGAATCCAGTTGAAGTTTCTTTGTATAGAGCTGAAAAGAAGTGAAGACAAATATATATATAAGAAACTATTTTTCGTTTTTATTTATTTTTATTTTTATTTTTTTGTTTAAGCATGTGATTTGAGGTCCAACAACTGAAAACTGGGAAATGTCTCGAATGCAAACAGCAATAACATGAGGAGATGGCACTTGCAATTGAACAAATTTACATAAATCGGTCATCAGACCTTGAGAATTTGAAAGCGTTCTTCTACATTGGGTATTCTCACTTCAATCTCAGCATCAAAACGTCCAGGCCTTCTTAGTGCAGGATCAATTGCATCCACTCTGTGCAAAGATGCCAGGATTAATGTTACTCTTAAAATCAAAACTGCAGTTAATGAATTCACAGATGAGTAACAATTGGGCTAAAGTATAAAAAAATCAGATAGTCAAAATGAGGGTCGATTCCAGGAACCCGTCAAGGTGTTTTGAGAACATGGATCGATTTCCCTCGAGTTAACAGAAAAAGTCCTATCAAGCTCATAATCTGTAGTTCAGACCACTAAAAGGCAAATGTCATATTTGTTGCCATCAAAGTAAACACAAACAAGATATTCAATCAAGATACATAGGTAAAGCTATCCACCTAAAACCTTGACAACCTTTACCTATCATACCTTTTCGTAAGTATGATGGAAATTTTTGAGATGACATGGAAACTTAAACAATTTAAATACATTACACTTCACACATTTATCATAAATTCTTGGTGGGTGAGAGAGACCACTTGTGCCGTTTAAAAATTCCTCAAACGTGAAATAGTATACTAGTGCATAACAAGTCATAAAATACCTGTGAGTCGATGCCACCACTACAAAATGCGATGAAGAAGCAGGTGCAGATTTATGGGACTCCATCAGCACACCTAGCAGAGACACCACACGAGCGTCTTGCTCCCTTCTGCAATTGAAGATACAACATACCAAGTCATATATACTTTAATAAAGTCCATAATGATACAAGAACATGTGTTCTTTGTCTATCATCATCATTATCGCCAAACCAGATGAAAATTTTGGAAGATGGTTGTTTGATTGTTCAACTAAAAGTATCCTGTGACGTGAGAGCACGCCATCATTAAATATGCAAATACATAGATTAGTTTTCTGTGATGACAAATATAGTTTTCTGTGATGACTTAAAAAAAATGTTCTGGACAATACAATTAAAATAAAGAAAAGAGAAACTTCGTGCAACAAAAAATGCATCAAGCAATCTGGTATATTGACGGTTGGTAATGCATCATAATTAATAATGTATTAACATCAAGGATTAACACTCATGCTTTAAACCTTCCATGTAGATATAGTTTATGTTCAGTTAATAGCTTTAGGTTTCTCTAATCTGAAGGCAAAGGCTTAAGCATGACACTAGAAAATGGAAAATTTCCTTTGGAGTCCACTATTCTCTAACTTAACATGGCCTCCAAACACATGTCACCAACCTGAGAACTTGACACATCATTAAAACAAGGTTTCACACCAATGCAAGTTATGCAACAGTTACGTCCCTCACATGTCTAACTTAATTATAAGTAGAATCACACTTAAGTAAGTTTTCTCAAATCACAAAAGGTGGAAGTATTAGACTATTCTCAATCACAACAATTGACATTTTCCTGTGTGGTCCATGATTTCTATTTTCCAGATTTTTTTTACATCCACATGCATTTATCAATCATAAACAAACTTTGAACAATAATTTGGAACTTGCAAAAGAAGAAACAGACTGTAGTCCAAGTGATGCTCACGAATCAATTATGAATGAGCAGCCAAACAAGGCTTTAACCAACATCAATAAGCCTGAAAGTAAGTGAGTTCTTGCACATACCAAAGGGTATGTTCGGTTCTGAATTTTGAACCTGTCATAGTTTTTCCCCATTTCTTACTTCTTATTCCTTTTGGGGTATTGCTTTCCTCCATTAAAATTAAATGCACATATCCACCCAGTTGCTTTCAGTTCCACATAAAGACAGTCATAGAACTATAAATCATAATAGAATTACAAAAAAGAAACTTTCAATGATCAAAACTTTGTTCAACAAATACCTAGAGTTCTGACGACTACACAGCACATCTATTTCATCGATAAAGATAACTGATGGTGATTTAGCATGAGATGATGCCTGAGCAAAAGCCTCCCGCAAAGTTTTCTCAATATCCTTAGCATATGATCTGTGAACAGAATGGGGATTACAACATATACCCACAAGTCATTAAAAAAACAGCGAATAAAAACCTCTACAATAACTTCGGAAACCAATTGTTCGTCCATTAAAAAAATTGCATAGCTTCATTTATGTCCTCTATTGCAAGTGTTTTAAGGCTAACAGCTGCATTGTTTGGTTTCAAATGGCTATGAAAAAGTTGCAGTGAACTCAATTCTAATAACAGTCCTCATTTTCAATCATTATTCACAATAATAATTAAAAATAATAATAAATTGGGATTTATCAAAATAACAGCACTAAGATCTGACAAATTTTCACCAGTTGGTTTATCAGCTATTATCCTTATCTCAATTTGGATCCTAAATTTCGGTTAGACAAACATTAAGCAAATTCACTTGCCTATGCATTACACAGAAAACATGAGATACGTGGTTTACAAATATAACTAAGTCGTGTACTTTACATTCGTTTCCTTCCATTACATCCAATGGTATCTAAAAATTTTTTAGGTCTTTAGCAGTCTTTCTTATAGGTTTCCTCTCCTACATGAAATTCAGGATTCAAATGGAGCGAGCCTAATGATATTGTAATACCAAATTTTCCCATTTCAAACTAAGTGCAGCTTAAGTGTGTCCAATTATCTCAAACTTCTTGTTCATTAAAACAAAGTACGAGTAAAAACTAAAACAAAGTGAGAAATTAAATTACCTAACAGTGACTAAATGGGCGCCACTTTCCTGAACAACTGCTCGAACCAAGCTTGTCTACAATTTCGAGAACAGTAAAAATTAAAACAAATTCCAATGCAAGCATCCATATATGCTTATAAATAAGTGAGAGCAGGAAATATAATACCTTTCCCGTGCCAGCAGGGCCGTAGAGCAGCAAATTACTCGGCCAGTGCTGAAGACGAACAGACCCTTTTCATTTACTGAATGATAGAATATTTCAAGTATTAAAAGTAGCATGGGTAAAAAGTGAAATTGTACCTTGAGGCCGAGTATTTGGGCCTTGCGAGAGAGTAGAAGATTGAAATTGATAAATTCTCGCAGAGTTTTTAATGCTTCGGCGTTGCCGGCTATTATTTCCTCCGCTCTCTGCTTGGCGCCGCCGCCTTGAACAGTACGGCCGCTGCGACTCTTCATCTGTGAAGTGAAAGGTGAAGTTTCAACTTACAACAGTTCACTGTATTAATGAAGATTAAAGGGTTAATTTCTAAACAGTCATCGAAGTTTGTTAAGAGCCTGTTTGACAAGAAAAAAGTGTTTTGAACAGTGATTTTTAAGAGAATGGGTTGTTAAAAATGTAGGGCAATTCTTTTGGTGTACGTTTAGAATATTTTATTGTGTGAAATTAATGGTTGTCGAATGGGCTCTAAATTTGAGTTAAATTTTTCACTAGTTACCAACGTTATACTTCCGTCACGCTTTATTTGCTTAACTTTAAAATGTTTTTTAGTGATCGTTGAAATTTAATACGTTACACTCCACTCATTTATTCATGTTTCATTAGTCACTGAACTTATCTCTCCATTGCGCTTTATTTATTGAAATTTAAAATGTTTCCAAGTGTTCACTAAACTTTACTCCTGGAATCCAACTGCTCAAAAACTGAAAATTTTGAAGTATAAAATATCATACATGAAGATGATGCCCTTCTTTCCTTCTGAATTACCTTGTGACAACTCTATAAATTCTATTTTGTTAGTCTTGATTAATATGATTGACTTCAAGGGTGGAGCCATAAATTTACATTATGAGGGGCAGAATTTTTAAAAAGTTAAATGTACAAATAAAATTCATATATAACAAAAAAAGTCCATAGCAATATTATTTTTTACAGTTGTACCCAATGTTTAACAACATAAAATTTATATATAATATAATCTAAATCTAAATTCATAGGAAATTCTCATTCGACACCAAATCTCGAACCAAATCTTAAATCAACTCATACTCCAACATAAAATGCAATTTAAGGAGCTAAAGGACAAAAGAAGTACCTACGCGTAAGTTGATTAAGGCTTCAAAGTCACAATAAATTGAAGCTTTAGTGATGCTTTCAAAAACAAACGGGAGCCTGTAAATAAATTTTGATCCAAAAACCATGAGTTACAGATAAAAAAAACTGCAAGTCTAACAAGCATAAACTGATAAAAGTTAAAATTGTTTATTAAATAATAACCACATAAAATCAACAAACAAAAGCAAACAAAAAATCATATAGATGCAGGCAGCAAGAAGAAAAAACAATTAAATAACAATTTCCACTAGAAAGTTCAATTTTTTTGTTAAATTGAATATATGAATTTGATCAAGTCATGTTGTGGCCCAAATGAATTTTGATTTGACTTGTCAGTTGGAAAGATTGATTAACACTGGAATATTTCATGCATTCTGGAACCTAGAAATTCGATTGTTAATATAGCCTCCAATGAAATAAGTATTCTACATGGAAAGTTCTTTTCCTGCTTGAAGGTAGAACCTTTGTGAACACACTTGTCGGCTTTGTTTCCTTGCAAAGAAAAGTAGTCGGCATATCCAAGTTTAGCCCAACTATGAATATATGAATTGACATAGTTTATCAAATTCATATATTCTATTAAGAGTGGTTTCATTTAAAGTCCAGATCAAGTTAATTGAAAGCAAAATCAAGTTAAAGAAAACCAAATCTATACCCAATTCAAGTTATATAAAGCAAAATCAAGTTAATAGAAAGAAAAATCTATCCCCAAATTTCTTCGTTTCCGTTAAGCCAAATCAAATAAATTGAAAGCAAAATCAAGTTAATTCCAAATCAGCATATCAAGTAAAATCAAGCAAAATTTAGTCTCAATTCTATCTATTGTGCACTATAAAGTTAAGCTCAAATCAACATCCATATATTCATTATTCAAATAGACATAATAACATTAACAAGCATGTGGCACGCACTCAATTAAAAGCAAAATCAAACACATATAATAACAACTCTGCTCAATGTCAAACACACACAATTAAACTCTGCTCAAACAGTCATAATAACATTCAGAAAATAAGTACTCAGAGGCAGAGCAGATTTTGCATAAAAATATATAGAGTAACAGGGATCGTACCACTTGTCACTTACCAGCCAAGAGGGCGAGAAACGAATGGATGAGGGACCTTCCTTCTTCACCTTCTTCTTCTTCTACCATGGAAGGCGTCAGTCGTTGAGGCGTCGAGTCAAGGAGGTCGCAGGAAACTCAGGAACAAGAGCTGAGAGTCGAATTGAGAGGCTAAGAGAGTTGCAAATTGGATTTGGGAATTCCGCGGTTTCAATTTTAGCATTTAGCTTTGGATAATTGGTTTTGGGTCAACTTTTGTTTCAATTTTTTTCTGAACTGGTTAAGTGAAAAGCCCAATAGGCTACAACTAAAAAAAAGTGAAAAATACACATAGCCATATCTTTCAAAATCCAATTTCAAAAATCAAATCCAAAGTTTATTTATACAAAAATTAGATATTAATTCAAGTGGAAATTACATGTACCCCTACTTTTCAAGATGCAAGTTCAAAAATCAGATTTTAAGTTTTAAGGTTCAAAAATTAGATATTTTATAGATAGATATAGATTTTTATATTTAATTAAATATTAATAATAATATTATAAAAAATAATTTATATACACCCACCCCTAAAATTTAATTATCAAACCCTAACCCTGATTCTCTCCTCTCCCCATCTCTTTCTCTCTCTTGAACTCCTCTCCCGTCTCGTTTCTCTCTCTCTCTCCATCCCTCATCTCTTCTCTCATGAAAAGGCCACCACCGCCGTCGCTGCTGTTACGCCACCACCACCGCCGCTAATTCTCTCCTCTTCCCATCTCTCCCTCCCCATCTCTCTCGTCTCCTTCACTGAGCCGAATTGGGAGCTGCAACGTCAGGATCAGAGCTACTGCGGCGAGGACCCACAACTAGAGAGTGCCGCACAGTCACCGGAGCTGCAATGAATTTAATCTATTTTGCACACGATAGTTGACAGTGGTTAGTTTTTTCGCAGATCTGACTTGAAAATGGTGGAGTTCGGGACTGATTTGTGGTGTATGTGCAGATGGTGGTGTTGGGGTTGGGGATTTTGTTGGTAGGGTGGTGGCTGTGATGTGGCAGTGGAGTGATTGTTGGTGTTGGTGGTGGCGTTGTCGGCCACCTGTGAGGATGGCCGCAAGTGATGGTGGAGACATTGGAGGTGGTAATGGTATGTGACCTGTTAGTTGACCAGTGGCTGATTATTTAACTGTGACCCTTAAATTCGAAGATTTGTGGTGGTGATGAAGTATGTATCTGTAGTGGCAGGGTGGTGGTTTTGTGGATCTTATAATTTTTGTGGTGGTGACGGCGATATTGTTAGTGCTGGAGATTGCCATGGTTTACAGCCGGAGCGGTGGCTGTGGAGACATTTGGAGGTGATGGTGGTACATGATCCCTGTGACCAATTAGTTAACTGTGACCCTTAAAATTCGAATTGTGACTCAAAATTAATTAAGTTGTCACCGAAAAATTTACCTGTGATCATTTGAAAATAACATGTGATCCTCATAAAAAAAATAATAATAACTCGTGGTTATGAACAAAATTCTGATTTGTGACCCAGACTGTGACTTAAGTTGTAACCTGGACTGTGATTTATGACCTGAGTTGTGACATGGGCTGTGACTTGTGACTTGAGTCGTCGGAATCGGAGCAGTCCCCGAAACGGTCACCGGAATCGGAGTAGTCGCCGGAGCGGTCGTCGGAGTGGTCGTCGGAGCAGTCGCCGGAATAGTCGCCAGAGTGGTAGGGTGGGGTGGTGGAGGTGGGGGTGGGTTAATTTTATTTATTTATATCTTTTTATATATTTATATATATAAATAAATATTTATATATGTGTGTATGTATAGATTAAAAAATCTGATTTTTGAAATGTGAAAGTTGTTTTGTTATTTTTGAAATAGGGTAAAGATAAAGTAGGAGAAATGAATTTTTCCCTCAAATCATAATTAAATATTTTAGTACTAATAATATTATTAAGGGGGTGTTTGGTGGAAATTAAAATTAGATTTTTAGTAGATTTTGATAGAAGTTTTTGAAATGTGTGGTCAGAGCCAGAAAAGTAATTCAGTGTGGGCACAATTTATCGACGTTGAACGTCGAGTTTTTGGTTATGAATTTAATGAGGATAAAAATATAAAGCCGATGATCATGGGAATTTAGTGAAAAAAAAGTCACTACACATTATAAAGATTACTACACTGCAAAATGGGCTGCAGCAAGTGAAGAATTTTTAGCATTTTTCACCCCAGTTTGGCTAAGTCCACTCAAGAATGCCTTCTTTGGATCACTGGTTGGAAGCTATCAATGGTTTTTCAACTCATTGACTCACTCACAGAAACTCAAACACCTGGTGCAAGTCTAGCAGGTATGACTAACGAACAGGTGGGAAAAAATGAAGCTTTGAGAGAGAAGATCAAAGCGGAGGAGGACATGTTGAGGAGAGAAATGGAGCGACAGCAGATGGCAGTGGCAGACCGGAGAATGGTGGAGTTAGCCATGCTAGAGAGCCGAGTCATGAACAGTGGTGACTTAACAATGACTCAGGTTAATGAGTTAGTGGAATCGGCATTGACTGGTTCTCTTTCTGGTTTAGAAGAAGTGATGAAAATGGCTGATTGTGCAAGGCTAAAGACCCTCAGTGGTGTGTTGGGACTCCAATACAAAGTGTGAAATTCGTGGCTGCTATTTCAATGCTTCATATTCATATGAGAAAGTGGGAGAAAATGAGAGAAAATCAAGAGTTGCAAAGCACTGGAATCTAGATTAACCAGTTAAGCAATAATCTCAAAAACACATACTGCAAAATTCAATCTATTATTCTACACAATTGAACCTGAATAAGTGCAACTTATAACAATCAAGTCACAAATATGCATTCAAAAACACCAAAATCATATAAAACACCGATGAAGGAATCAAACCCCAAACGGTTTATCATTTATGCATACCGTATACGCAAAATATAGTAATAATCGAAAAGACCCAAGCTAGTTACAGACTTACAGTAGGTTACTACTGCCGATTGTCGAAAGATGAAGAAGAAGAATCGTCAGCACGGAGGCGAAACAGGTGGTCAACTGGTCTAGGGCTCGAAGT